GTTATCGAGTAATCATCGCTAGAATTTTCAAAAATCCTTTAACTTGTATACTAATAGTCGCACGATTTACGATTGTTACACAATCTGCATTATGCATAACTAAGCACAGAATTTTTTAATGCATTTTTATTGGTAAATAATAATATATACAGTATATATAGATAGATAATAGATATATAGAAGGGAAACTAAAACTACAAAATATTATATATAATCTGTATAACTATTAATATCTAAAGATTAAATATATTCAATTGATTTTAGGATCATGAATACAGTAATTAAGTAAATATGATTTAAAACTGAACTTTTAAGAAATTATTTATTGAAATAATGCATGAGCATTACCACCCAACTCTATTATTTTGTTATAATCTTTCATCGCTTCATCGTATTTATGCATCATTGTGTAGATAGTTCCACGAGTTTCTAACGAAACCAGGTTATTTGGTTCAAGTTCTAGAGATTTGTTGATATCAGAGAGAGCCTCCTCGTATTTATATAATGTAAAATTAACCAAACCACGATTATTCCATGTAATTGCGGCATTTGGTCTTATCTCTAGAGATTTATTATAATCAGCGAGAGCTTCTTCAAGTTTATTGAGACTTCGAAAAGTTAATCCACGATTACTTAAAGTATTTGGATTATTTGGATCGATTTCTAAAGATTTATTATAATCCAAAAGTGATTCTTCAAATCTTCCCATATTGAAATATAATAATCCGCGATTATTAAATGCAACAGCATCATTTGGCATAAGCTCAACAACCAAATTTAAGTCGGCAAGAGCTTCTTCATATTTACTTAAAGTACGATAGGCTAATCCACGAGCTTCGAGCGCAGTCACATTATCAGGATCGAGTTCCAAAGATTTTTTTAAATCAGAAAGTGATTCAGCATGCCTTCCCATATCAGAATATAATAATCCGCGTTTACTTAAAAGTATCGCATCATTTGGTTTAATTTTAATTGCTTTATTCAAATCAGAGAGTGCATCATCATATCTACCCAAAGTACGATAAGATAATGCACGAGATTCCAAAGTAATCGTATCATTTCCATTAATTTCTAAAGATTTATTAAATTCCAAAATAGCCTCCTCATACTTATTCATATCAAATAAAACCAAACCACGATTACTTATTGTAACAGCGGCATTTGGTCTAATTTCTAATGATTTATCAATATCAGCAAGTGCATCACAATATCTTTTCATATTTCGAAAAGTTAAAGCACGATTACTTAAAGTTGTTGGATCATTTGGTCGTAATTCCAAAGATTTTTTAAAATCAGCAATAGATTCATCATATTTTCCCATATCAGAATATAATAATCCACGATTACTAAATGAAATAGGATCATTAGATTTATGTTCTATTGTTTTATTTAAATATATAAGAGCTTCTTCATATCTATTTAATTTACGATAAGCTAAACCAAAAGATTCTAACACATTAACATTATTTGGATCAATTTCTAAAGATTTTTTAAAGCAAGAAAAAGCATTTTCAAAATTTCCCATATCAGAATATAATTGACCGAGTTTACAAATTAAATTTGAATCATTTGGTTTAATTTCTATTGCTTTTTTAAAATCAACAAGAGCTTCATCATATCTTTTTAAAGTATGATAAATTAAACCACGAGATTCTAAAGTAATCATTCTATTTGATTCAATTTTTAAAGATTTATCAAAATCAGCAATAGCTTCAGAATATCTACGTAAATCATAAAAAATTAATCCACGATTACATATAGTAATAGCTGAATCAGAATCAAGTTCTATAGCTTTATTATAATCATCAATTGCTTCTTGATATTTTTTCATACTTCTATAAGTCAATCCACGATTACTTAAAGTAGTTGCATTTTCAGGGTCAAGATCTAAAGATTGATTGTAATTTAAAAGTGAATCATCATATCTTTGTAAATCATAATATAATAATCCACGATTATTTAATATTATTGCATCATTAGGTTTAATTTCTAATGCTTTATTTATATCAGCAAGAGCCTCATCATATTTATTCAAAGAACGATAAGTTAATCCTCGAGCATCAAGAGAGATAGCATCATTTGGTTTAATTTTTAAAGATTTGTTAAGATCAAAAAGAGCATCATTATGTCTATTCATTGATCTATAAGTTAAAGCACGACTTCTTAAAGTAATTGCATCATTTGGTCTAATATCTAAAGATTTATTTATATCAGCTAAAGATTCATCATATTTTTTCATACCACGATATGATGAACCACGACATTCTAATGCAGTTGGATTATTTGGTTCAATTTCTAATGCTTTATTTATATAAATTAAAGATTCTTCATATCTGCCTAAATATTGACATAATCTTCCACGTAAGCATAATGAAATTGGATCATTAGGATTAATTGCCAATGATTTGTTAATATCTTTAAATGCTTCATCATATCTACGCATTAACATGTGGACTATCGCACGTCGTGCAAATATAACTGCATCTTTTGCAGTATATTTCACAGACTCCTGTTATTGATAATAGTGATTTGAAAAAAAAGGATTATATTTAATAGATATTTAATACGTAAGAAAGAATAAAAAAAGTATAACGATAAACTTACATTATCTGAAGTCTCATAAATATAATCTAAATGAAATAATAAATAAATTAAAAAAGGTTAATATATATATACAAATATTATATGTTAACATGTATATCAATTTAGCAGTATATCATACCTAAGCCACTTGATTCAAAGGTATTTAAGCTAGCCAAACTATCATCTAAACATTGGCTAAAATGAGAGAAATTTATATTCATAAGTTGTATACTATTCCTATTAGTCTTGATTTGATCATTGTCTAATTTACTATTAGAATTTGATGGTAACGAAACGAGTTGAGTATTGTCCTTTTCGGAAACGGAAGATTTTAGATTATTTTGAATCTGAATTATATCGCTATCATCATAATCATAATCATCATCAAAGTGAGAAGAGATTGGAGATGAAGATAGCATAGAACTTCCACTGATACTGACAGGACGTTCACGACGTGTTGGAGAGGTTGGAGAGTTAGGAACATTAACATGACCATTTGCTTGAGTATTTTTAAAATTTTGAAAAAGTAGAGCTAAAGTTTTAACTTTTTTATTTTTAGCCTTTGGAAAACTTAGACTAAGTTCTATTAATGAATTAAGAACAGATTTTGCATCAGGACGTTTATTTGGATCCTCATCCCAACATCGTTCATAAAGTTGAATATAAGGAGTTGGAGTATCTTTTACAGGAGTTTCTCTGTTTCCTTTAGAAACATAATAAAAAAGAGCTTCAACAGTTGCGAATGATTTTTTTTCGTAAGGCAATTTTCCACTAGAGATTTCCCATAAAGTAATGCCTAAACTGTAGATATCGGATTTCATATCAAGCTTATATGCTTCAGTTTTAAAGCATTGAGGATCGATGTATGCAGCCATTCCACAGATAAAATTTGAGCTTGTGATGGTTGAAGTCTCATTTAATCGTTTTGATAGACCGAAATCAGTAATTAAAATTCTTCCTTTATGGACCAGAATGTTTTTAGAGTGCTAATTAATTAATTAATTAATTAATTAATTATATTAAATATATTCATTTAAGGTTATTATACAAATAATTTTAAAAAAAAATTTAATTACAAAATATATTTATTTATTAAAGAATAAATCAATATACATACGAGATCTCGATGGACGATTTTTGTGGCATGTAGAAATGCAAGTCCGCTTGATATTTCACTGGCAATTCTCAATTTATCAGTCCAATCAAGCTTTGAAAAGTTGTCTTTTAAATAACCTCGTAAATTTCCGTCATTCGCATATTGTAAAATTATTTTATGACGTCCATCCGAAGGATCTGTTATGTATTACATTATTAAAAAAATTTTTTTTTAATTTTTAATTAGAAATGAAGTCAGGGACGTGGAGATCTTGTGATTTAAAGAACATACTACAGCAGTATATTCTTTTAGATCATGAGATCTACATCTCTGAATCATGCATATATATTATACAGTTATAGGACAAAGTTAATTTTTTGTAACGGTTGCCTAATGAAATAGCTTGTGATCATGTATGTTTAGATCACAACATGAAAAAATCAACTTTGACCAATAAACCAATAATCAAATGGTACACTTACCACGAGTTATTCCGTAAAATTTTATGACATTAGAATGAGGACTAACATCTCGCAAAACTTTAAGCTACAAAAGTTTAATGCATGATTTTATTAAAGATAGGGTTACAGTTAGCGATGTGCCATTTGTATCATATTTGGATTCGTAAACTTTTCATAAAGTTTATCGTTGTAAAATTTAGCATACAGTACGCGTGTGTACTTACGTACGTACGTCTAGTTATTAAGAAAGATGACTTACTTCTCTAATAAACATTCGAGTAGCTCTTGCATCAAGGATCTCATTCACCTTCATGCTTTTTAAAACGATCGCAAATCCACGTTCTTTCCATTGTGCTTTTACCACGAGACCAAAACTACCTTCCCCGATGGTTTCTTGGTTTGAAAATTCACTAAATTCTATTGTGGGAATATTTTCTTCACGAATTGAAGTTTCAAGCCGTTCATTTCGATAATCTTTTGAAATTTCCATGTTTTTTTTCTTTTAATTTGTTTAATGGCTCAACTTAGAATTTTTCAAGTCTTTATATTTTACAAAGCGTGAGATCAACATTTATTACATAAATTCGTTCAATGTAAATAAATTACCATGCGTTTTCCTTTTAAAGTTCATATATTTATCATTTAAAGTATAAAATATTGACGAAAAATTAAGTGAAAGAAAAATGGTAAATTAAAAGTACAAATTAAGAAATGTTACATAATTAATTAAATAACTTTGAAAAATAAAACGGTTCATAATAAAATTTCTTTTAATTGGTCCTTCGCGAAATAAACAGAATAACTAATGTAAACACATTTCAAATTTAATTTTTAACTTGCCCGGAATATTTCTTTTTATCAAACAAAGTCAATATTTCCTTTTGATATTGCGCGTGGTATACTAATTAGTTAAAATATACATTACACGATAAATTACGTGATTTATTTATTATGCGAAATGGACGCACAAAAAATATTATATTAATTCAAAAAATTATTCGTAACTCGAAAATTCAATTATAAAGCAGCTTACTGCGTACTAATAAAAAATATTTCTTATGAAATTTTAGTGCAATATATCTTTTTCTAACATAACCAACAGTAAAAACTAAATTTTAATGTCAGCTAAATTTTCTTAACGAAATTTTTTAAGTTGGTAACGCTAAAGGCGGGTAAGAATCCGAAATTTTACTATATTTAGAATAATATATGAATTATAAATTCCATTTATAGTATACACAAAACAAATGCATATCAATATTAATATTGTTACTATTTACGAAAACAAACACTATAAGCATTTTATATGGCTGTGACAACCAATAAAATCCCAGAGCATATGTAACGTAATCGTGATAAACCTTAAATGTATTAAGATCGACAAGTGTGCGAAAGAAATATTCGAACACTTTACAAAATATAATATTTTGTTTTTCTATCGTGAATTCTATTCGTACAATTTGAAAACAAAGAAACTTCGCGTTACGTTGGGGGGGTGCGTTCAACTATGTAAATCAAAACTATGTATAGATGTATATCAAATTTTATATATGAATTTTTTTAGCTA